CAGGTCACTGATACGACCTGTCCCTAGGATTCTGCTCTTACTGCTCCTGATTCTGCTGTTATGTGTTTGCCTTTCTTTATCATTTCACTTTCTCTGCATTTTACTGTTTTCTCTTACCGGCGTTTTTCTCCTTTTGTGGCTTCTTGCTCTCATCTTAAAACAACCATGTCCTTTTGAATCCTATTGAAGTTACCAAGCAGTTTTCTTTAAAAAACACAACTTTCTGTTTCTTGTAAAAGTTCATTTCCAAATGTCTGATCTTTCTCAGGGTCTCAAGGGTCAGGTTGCCTTTCCCTTGGCCCACGTTATTTTTCAGAGGCCCCGTTTTGGGGTCTTCTACTTGCTAGTTTGTCAGATTGGGGTTTTTTTGTTGTTGTTGTTTTTGATATTTTGTTCCAATAGAGTGGGAGGGAGAGAAAGAGAAACATCGACGTGAAAGTGACACATCGAGTGGTGGCGCCACCCACACGACCCAATCAGGGCCGGGGACAAACTGCAACCGAGGTACTTGCCCTTAGCAGGAACCGAACCCGGGTCTCTCCAGACCGCAGGCTGATGCTCTAACCGCTGAGTCAAACTGGCCAGGGCCAGATTGGTTTTTATGCGGTGGGTTTTTTAAATCCATATTGAAACAAGGAAATATATTAAAATAGTGTCTGCCAATAGAAAAAATCTACGAAAGGCCTGTGACCACCTACTTCTGTTTGAACTCTCTGCTCATCATTCAACAGGAGGGCAGAGTGGGGCACTGCACTTTGGTCCAGTGGCTTGTGTCGCTCAACTAGGTTGGCCCTGCTGGCCCGAGATAGAGTTTTCTCCTACTGCCTGCCTGCAGCACTCTACTTTTTCTTTTATTCATTCAACAAATGTGCCCTGAGTGCTGCCCACCCCTAGCCAGAAAACACTCTCTGTCCTGGGGCACGGTAGGGGTCAGACAAGCAAGTCCCTGCTGTCACGGAGCTCACATTCCCTGTCGTTTTCTGAGTGCTGTCTTCAGGACTGGATGTAGAAAGAAGGAATCAGGCTGATGCCGAGAAAAGGGTCGCTAGCAGTCTAGCTGCAGTGCAGGGATGTCAGCTCTCATCTCCAGCTAGGGTGGGTTTCCAGCAAGGGAGGCGTTGGCTCCAACCACATACTACAAGGGGCTCAACCAATTGCTCCTTCTAGTTCAGTTCTGTCGATCTTCACCATTAACGAAACGCTTCTCAAATTCTGTCTTTAGCTTTAACTCTCGATGCTAGTTTTCGGGTATTTGTATTGTCTCTGTTTTCATGGGTAGTCTCGGGAAAAATTCAGACAGGCTATTTTGGACCGCAATGCTGATAGCGTTTTAAACCTGGACATTGATTCTTCAGTGTTGCGTTTGGAGTAAGTGTGGGATATTTAATGCTCATGTCTAGTAGGAAGGCAGAGGGCTAGCCCTGCGCCTTCAGAGAGGTAGCCGAGCTTGTGGCAGAGCCCTGGGGGTCAGAAGAGGAGGGACATGCAGAGCGCACGTGGAAGCTGAGATGCTTTCTAATGATGAGACAAAAGTAGAGGGCCAAGACTGTGTTCTCGACATGTCGAGATTTAGGGGACAAAGGGAGGAAAATAAGCCAACTCATTGATCTGTGTTCATTCTATGTTATTTTTACTCTTCTGTGAAAATTTACAAGCAGATAAATATTCCATTGGGTCTTGATTATCTACTTTTCTAAATATGCATGATGACCTGGGCTTTTTTTTTCCTTCATAAACTGTCCCTATTTTTGGCCAAGATGGAGAGAAGTTGGAATCAGTCAGGTAACAATTGTACCTCTGGTTCTTTAGGAAGTGTGTCTTGAGCACCTTACTGAAATACAGTGCTTGCATACTAGAGAATTGTACTCTCTGTGTAGCTACCGTTACGTGAAAGCTTGCCAAGTTCCAGGCACTGTGCTAACCACTCCACAGGCATTGTCTCATAGGTAACAATAGTTGTGGAGGTAACTATCATTACTCCCGATTTATAGTAAGAAAGTTGCCTATAATAGAAATTCTGTGATGTACCCAAAGCTACATAAGACAAGAGTAGCAGAGTCAGGATTTGGTGTTAGCCTGACCGCCAAGCCGGTTATGTTAAGTGAGTACTCTACTGCATTGTGCACAAATGTGCACACACCTGCACACACACACACAGGGCAGCTATATGAGTGTATGAGGAACCATATGAAAACACAGTTAATGTTCAGTGATTTTTTTTTTTTTTATCATTACCTGAGGACACTTTTTGAGGGAGGGAGAGAGGGAAGAAGAGAGAGAGAGAGAGAAAGAAACATTGATGTGAGAGAGACTCATCGAGTGGTTGCCACCCACACAACCCCAACCAGGGCGGGGGACAATCTGCAACCAAGGTATGTGCCCTTAGAGGGAACCGAACCCAGGCCTCTCTGGTCTGCGGGCTGACGCTCTAACCGCTGAGCCAAACTGGCCAGGGCTTCAGTGATTTTTTAAAAATGAATTTTCTTTGATTTTCATGCAAAAGAAGTTGACACTTCTTTGAAACATATTGTTTATTCTGATACTCAAAACATGTACCAGCTCTTCTATGGGAAATATATTTAGAATTATTTTATCTTTTTTTTTTTTTTTATTAATTAATTTTTGTTACAGATGTTTTTCCTTTTTCCCCCACTGATTCCCCCCTCCCTCTCCCTCCCTGCCCTCAGTTTGTTGTCCATGTCCACTGTTCATGCATACATGCATATAAGTTCTGTGGTTTATCTCTCCCCCACCACCCCCCTCTTTAGGGGATTGTCAGTCTGTACCCCACTTCCGCGTCTCTACCCCATTCCTCAGACTGTTATGTTCATTATATTCCACAAATAAGTGAGATTATATGAAACTTGTCTTTCTCTGTTTGGCTTGTTTCACTTAGGATGATACTTTCAAGGTCCCTCTATGTAGTCTCAAAGGATAAGAGATCTTTCTTTCTTACAGCTGCATAGTACTCCATTGTGTATATGTACCACAGCTTTTTTATCCATTCGTCTACTGATGGACACTTGGGCTGTTTCCAGATCTTAGCTATTGTAAATAGTGCTGCTACAAACATGGGTGTACATATATTATTTCTGATTGGTGTTTTAGGCTTCTAAGGGTATCAAATAAATATTAGTTTCGTTAATTGACAGTCATACTTTGTTTCTGACCAGAAAGTATAGAACATTCATTCACCAGACTTGTCTCCAGGCGACTTTCAGTTATTATAAAAGATAATATTTTTTCACTATAATCACAATTTCCTCCTCTATGAATATGCATAAAAAATCTGTCACAAGATAACGTGAGTTCCTTGTGGTTCTCTAACTATAGTACAGGAACAGTCTCGTGCAGCTATTAAAATTCTGTTCATGAAGACCACATAGAAACATGGAAAATACCTATTATGTTAACATAAAAGGTGTTATGCAAATTATAACTGCAGTTGTAACAATATGTATCCATATAGACATACAACAGGGACTGGAAAGTAATTTGCAAAAATAAAAATTATTAAAATTATGAGGGATATTTCAAAAATTTTCAAAATGTTCTCAAGTACTTTGCTGTCTTAAAGTAGCTGGTCCGTTATTCTAGTCAAAACTACCTTCACTTTCTCCTGCTCTAGACAATCACGTTCAATGGACCAGTAGCCTGTGGACAGTGATCCACAAGGAAAATCAAAGATCTGGGCCAGTTTCCGAGGATCACTCATTAACCCTGGGCTAGGTTCTCCTCTGTAACAAAGCGCCCTGGCTTCCTAGCAGTTTTCCTTTGCTGTGGCTGTTTTGAAAGCTGATATTTTTCCTCTCAAAATGTACAATTATTTAAATATTCAAGTTCACTTTAAGGCTGCTGCGTTCATAGGGGGGATATTCAACTTCCTTGACCAAGAAACTACAGCACTTTATTAACTGTACTATCAAATGTAAACTCCCCAGCGAGCAGTAAAGATTTAAAATCACCCTTCTACTTTTCCGGTAATACTTCAGTATAAAGTTTTCCCCATCAAGACTTCTCTGTAATGGTTAATTCTTCCCTTGCTTAACATAGCTCACCATGATTCAACATTGCAAACTTTATATATGTGATTAAAATAATTATAAATAAAGCCCCTGTATTGTGATAATTTTTGTCTTACATCTTCATTTCTTAGTAAAATAAAATACTACAGATAGAATTCAGGTCTCCTGTGTTCCTCTGCTCAGGCCCATTCTTCCCCCCCTTTTCTGGAGACAGCTAAGATCGCGAATTTGTGGAGGAGCTTCCGATATATCTTCTAAGTTATATATGTGTTGGTAAACAGTGTACAGAAGTTTCGTACATACTTCTGAGATTTACATAAAAATCGGCGCACTCTACAGGTCTTCTGCTACTTGCTTTTTCCGTCCAACATTGTCTTTGAGATCCGCCTACATTGTATTAATAGATTTTTTCATTTATGTTAAGTTCCCTGCAGCATATTAATTGTCCTGTGATTGTTGCAATGTACTTGAAAACAAAAGAGCATCTACTTCAAAAAGATCTTGAGTTTCTCCCTGTGTGGTAGGGAGGAAGACTCTTGCCTGAAGAGCTGCTGCCATGTCTGATTTGAGGAGCGGGGTGCAGTGTCTTTCAAGTGTGAGCACAGCTCTGAAGTAGAAAGCATCTGGGCAAGGCTAGGATAATATGTGCTGACTGGGGGGGGGGGGGACGGAGCGGCTTTAAAATACAATTATGCTGAGAGCCTGTGCTATTTAAGATACCATCCCTCCCTCCGGGCGAGATGCTGTCACCCTGCTGCTGTTGATGGCTGTATTCTGCTGTGGAAGAAAGGGAGTCGAGCAGCCAAATGTCTCTTTGGCATTTGTCTGGTACCCAGATAGAAACGTGGGTCGCAACGTCCCCTCTGTAGTGGGTGAGCGTTGGCTGAACACCATCAGTGAAACAGGCGCGGGGCTGGCTGCTTGCATTCCCGTATAAGCAGGAGCCTTTCAGAGCTTTTCTGTCTTTTATTAAAGGTCCACACACGTTCCTGTTGGGGAGGATCAAGTCCAGCACATGGAGCTAGTTCAGGATCTAGCACGAGCGTTTAACAAGAAGTATGGGGAGCTCTTCCCGGTGCCCAAGTCCATTCTAAGTAAGTAACAAACGTGGGATTGATAAATCAGGGCTTTTTAAAAAATCCTTTAGTATTTAAAAATATATGTTTTTACTTTTCAGTTATAAGTGGCATACAATGTTATATTAGTTCCAGGTTTACAATATAGTGATTAGACATTTATATAACTTACTAAGTGGTCATCCCAGTACGTCTAGGAATCAGGGTATGTTTCAAAGAGAGGATTAGATAATGGACCAAAGGTTGGAACCTTTCTTGGAACTAAACTTAGCTTTCTCATGGACAGGCCTCAGGATTTATAACTAGAATCCCATCTTTTTATGTCATGTAGGACTAGTAGACCTCATTGGATAATTGAGCAAAATAACCAAAAAAGCTTGAAAAGTATGGGAGAGACTAAAACCTAAAAATAATCATTTTCATATATTATTATATAATTTATCAAATATATGTGTACACACACACACACACACACGTCATTTGGTAGAACAGGTAGCTTTCCCTGTTTTATGGATGAGGGAACTAAGGCCTGGCAGGGCCAAGTTTGTGTTCAAGTCCTGTGCCTAGTTAGTGGCAAAGCTGGGCCTTATATTGAGTTCTTCCAAGTACAAAACCAGTTTACCTTGCCTTCCCTATTCACAGTAAAACAAAAGTCTGAGACTTTCCGGACCATAATCTAGATAAAGCAAGAGGGCATCGGCCATCCTCACACTCTCCCGTCTGAAGTGCACAACCATGGTAGCGTGGACAGACCATCTCCCGAATCTGAGACCTCAGCCACTTGCCAGGCTGTGCTAGTCTGGACTCTTCTTGAGGAAAGAAGCTGTAAATCTCCATCAACATTTTGGTAGCTGTGTAAACTTGTAGCAGGGGCAGAAATCACTGAACCTAAGCTCTGTCCATCTTTATTAAGCTCACAGCATTTTAAAGGAGTATAACATGTGCCCAGTATCAATTTAGAAACATACGGTGGGTTTAAATGTCTGTTATTCTAACAGTTCGCACAGATAAATCCAGGGCACACCATGTACTAAAATCAGCCTTCTTTTAGCAATAAGTAACAGTTTAATGTTTTAGCCTATTGTTATTTTACTGATTTCAGCTTTATATGCTTCTGTAATAGCCATAAAATAGGCAATTATTACTAACACTGGTTTATGAAGCACAGCTTAACATCTTGATTTTATCAGAGTAATAAACAAGCTTCTCCCATGTGTGTGTGTTTGTGTGTATGTGTGTGTGTTTGTGTATACTTACCTAATCGTGGGTAAAGATTTGGAAGGATTGACACATTGTGAAAATTGGTTTGGGGACAGGAAGGGCAGTGGGTGTGGGTAGGGGGTGATTAGCTGGGAGGGAAGGAGAGAGGGAGAGAAAGGTAAGAAATAGACAATACTTTTTTTTTTTTTAAGGTGTGCACAGCAAAAATGGTGTGATTGATACCATTTTATTAATATAGGATTATATTAAAGACGTGATCAACAAAACGTTAACAGTATTACATATTTCAGATGATGTTTCCTTTCCTGCTTGTCCGAATTGCTTGCATTTTGCACAGTGAGAATTTAATACTTATATAATCAGATAAAAATGATCAAGTTATTTGGTGTTCTTGATTTTTTTTTTTTTAAGATCTACTAGACACTGACATTCCTGGTGATTTTTTTCTTTTTATGTTGTCATTGTTTTTTGTTGTTTTGTCTTTGGGGGTGTATATGTTGGTGTTTTTACCTAAGCATCGATGAAGAAGGTAAAATCCCTCCGTGATCCTTCTGCCAAAATGTCTAAATCAGACCCAGACAGACTGGCCACGGTCAGAATAACAGACAGCCCAGAGGAGATAGTGCAGAAATTCCGCAAGGCGGTGACGGACTTCACCTCCGAGGTCACCTACGACCCGGCCGGCCGCGCGGGCGTCTCCAACTTGGTGGCCATTCACTCGGCAGTGACGGGCCTCCCGGTGGAGGAGCTGGTCCGCCGGAGCGCGGGGGTGGACACTGCTCGCTACAAGCTGCTGGTGGCCGACGCCGTGATTGAGAAATTTGCTCCAATTAGGAGCGAGATTGAAAAACTGAAGACGGACAAGGACCACTTAGAGAAGGTGTTACAAGTTGGGTCAGCAAAAGCCAAGGAATTAGCGTATCCCGTGTGCCAGGAGGTGAAGAAGTTGGTGGGGTTTCTATAGGACATTTCAACTGATCACACAAAAGCTTTTCTCTTTTGTGGCCTGTGCACTTGGGCAAAGGCAGCTTCCCTCCCGAGCAAACACGGACAGTTCGGGACGTTTCGTTTGGCGTACCTGACACCGGAAGAAGGGTCTCCTGAGCAGTGTTCTAGATCCCATCAGCAAGATGCTGTGGCCGGAGAAAACAAAGACGGCATAGCTTTCTGAACTCTCAGTGTTTGAGGGACAGTCCTTGGCCTGAATTTATCTACAGCTGTGATTGAGGTGAGCAGCGATTTGGCAGATGGGGGTATATCTGTGCCTCTCTCAAGCGCCTACTATCACAGGTGATCACTTTGCCTGTCCCAACCCCTTTGTAGTAATATGCAGAAGTCTCAGACTTATAATCCTTGGGATGCCATTTGGACCAACTTGTATTCAGATCTCATAAAAATAAATTGATTATTGTAATGCGTTTGACACTGAGATGGTGCCTGATTTCATGTACCTACACTGCTTAACTTGTTTTCCAAGAGATTATACTGATTGTTCCAGCATTTTTTTTTTTAAATTCAGAGATGCAGGATATATTCTTATGAAAAGGCTGTATTATTTCAACTTGATTTATTTATTGGACAAGAGCCCAGTCCTTAGATGATGTTTCTCATAAGTACTTCCGTGCCTTTATCTCTCCGTTTAATCTCACCGTCCCCCTGTGAAATGTATGGGAGAGGTGCTGCCACTGTGCCCTGAGGACCCGCAGGCTCAGGGAGGAGTTCGCTGGGTAGGAACACTCTGGACCTGAGAGGCAAATCCAGGACCAAAGCCTCTACTCCTTACCTGACCCTCCAACCATGCTTCCTTTGAAGGTGGGACCTGGAAATATAAGACCTGAACTACTGATACTGTTTCTATCAGCAACTCAACCCATAGCTGCCGGCTTTAAATCTCGTTTCTGCCAGCCTTGGTCACATTTGCTCCTCAAAGTCCCCGAGGCAAGCCCCCAGTTCTGTCTCCGGTGGGTACTGCAGGCCCTTCAGAGTGTGTGCTGCCAGGCTGCGCAGTAATACAGCTCACTCTGAACCCTGCTTCCCTGCACGCCGTGTCCCACACCTGAACGTGGAGATGGAGATCCTGACTTACCAGGGTCTGTCAGCAGGCCTGACTTTGTAACAAATTGCTTATGACTTCTTGCCAATGAGTATAATGATCATTATCTATACACAAGAGACTAGTGTGCTGGGCACAGAATTTTTACTCATTTTAATTCTTTAGAGAAGGCAGCAGAGTGGTCCTTGCATTAACAGATATAAATCCACAAAACACTGCATCCCAGAACCCAAATTTAAAAACCCTTCTGTGGATCTTTTTGTGGGATGGGGTATCAGTCGTCCTAGAGCGAGCCTCTTTGGGCATGTTTCTTCCAAGGCTGTTTGTTTGTTTTCCTTTCAAAGGAACCCTATTGTGAATACTGGAATATGACAAAATTAAAGTTGGATCTATCAAGCCAGTGGTCTGTTATTTGTTTGTCCATCTGTGTGTTTCTTTCCCCCCTTGCGACACTTTTTGTCCACAGAACCACAGGCACCATGGAGAGAATCTCAGAGGAGAAAAACTAGACGGCTTGTGATAACTTCCGAGGAGCAAAACCCTGCGCAGGTGAGGTCGGGCTGTGAGCCTCCTGCTGTGGTTACTTTGAAAAGGACCCAAGGGCTCAAGTCCAAAATCAGCCTGTAATGACTGGGACGTGCCCAGTGATCTAGGAAGCTGATGAAAGAGCCAGTGCTGGAACCCAGGTCGATTTCACATCCCTTTCACTCACCATGTCCAGGCCTCAGCACTCCTCTTACTGAGATGAAAAATCGGGAGGTTTCTGACTTGCTCACTTCAAAAGGTGATTTTCATTGTCATTTTCTGTGTGTTTTGCGGAGAGTTGAAATGATGATCAGTGTTTCAGATTCTCTGTAGCTCCACCAACTGACAAGCCCCACTTCAAACACCCCTGACGTCACTTGGAACACTGGAGGTGCCTTGCCTTCGTAGGTGCCTCATGAACATTTATCAAAACAATGTCCGGTTCCTAATGAAGTGTGGGGTTTGTTTCTCAGAAACCTCTTGGTGCACACCATGAGGCTGCTGATCATGAAACAGCAACGACACCACTGAGTTCTCACTATGCTCCGGTCATCACCCTAAATGCCTTATAACCGCCCTTCCGAGTGTGGTCCCCAGAGCAGGTGAGTGCCACCTGGGAACTCATGAAGGATGCGGGTTCTCTGGCTCTACCCCAGACTTACAGAATCAAAACTTGGGGGATGACATAGCAATCTGTGTTTTAACAGCCTTCCAGGTGATGCTGATGCATGCTCAACTTGGAGAACCACTGTGTTTTCTCACGTGTATTCTCTTGTTTCCTCATCGCCCAGTACAGCGATACTGCTATCACGCTCATGTTACTAAGGGTGAAACCGAGGCACGGGTTGAGTGCCTAAGACAGTTCATTCTCCAACAGGTAGAGTCAGGTCCTCCGACCCAGAGCCCCCCTAGGCAACCGTGGCTCCAGCACACTGTCCTCGGGTGTGTTTGGTGTCATGTGCTCTGAGGTGCTCTGTCCAGTAAAGTGTGTGTCCATTTAAATTTAAATTAGGACTAAATAAATAAATAAGTAATGCAGGCCCTCAGCAGCAACTCCAAAGGCCCAGTATCCTCAGCGACTGATGGCTGGTGTAGTGGACAGTACAGAGGGGAGTGTTTCTGTACTCACAGAAATGCTACTGGACGCTGCGCTTGAAGGGATTTGGCTTATGGGTTTGGTTGTAGCAGGCTGAGCATGTCCAGTTGAGGCCTGTTCCCTGGACAGTTCTTCAACTGCAGAATTCCCGAAGATAGCGAAAGGATTGTTGGCAATGGCAGACCATGTTGTTTCCCAAACAATGCTTAGATAATGAAAGCTAGCTTGTATTCTATACTTGCTGTATGCTGGGCACATATCTCATCTAGTATTTGTATTACCCTTATAGGAACTATTAGTGCTACTTTTTCAAATAAGTGAACTAAGGTTCAGCAGCTTGCTTAAAGTCACGTATTTATTATTACTCTCTAGTTTCTCCTAGTTAGGAACCAGTGACAGCCCTAACCAGTGTGTGCATGGAAGTGGCCTGTCCCTTCCTGGCTAGTCTAGACTTTTCTCTCAGCACCCGTGACCCTCTGCTGTGTGTCCGCACAGCTCCCTCCCTTCTTCCCCTCTCCTTCTGACTTCAATGGTCTTCCCAGCATTCCCCCAAGTTCTCCATCTGCGCACACAGCTCAGTCTCTCGGCTGCTCTCTCCTGCAGCCCACTTTCCCCAGCCCCCGGGTCACGGGCGGCGCGCCTGTGTCAGAGGGAGCGCGTGGTCTCTCCTTTCGCGTGACGCCCCTGTCCTCACTGACGGCGGCTTCCCCGTGTGAGCCAGACTCTCTCCACTGTCAGCTGAATGGGTCTTTGAAACTTCCTGGGCTGGGAAGAGTCCACTCCTCCCTGAAACTGAGCTGAAACAGATCGCCTCTCACTAGACTCCAACATTTTCCGACACCCCAGAGGCAGAACACCTGGGAGGCTCTCCCGTCCATCATGTAAGCCCTTGAGTGTTCACTTCTGCAGCTCTGGCGTATTGGCTAAGGATTGTCTTCTTTCTCCAGAGAGGAAACTGGTGTTCAGAGCGTCAGTGACATGCCCTCAGCTATGTAACTCAGCATTGTGGCAATGTTCACCTAGCGCCCATTTTATGAAAGGCACAGAGGAAACAGAATGTGCCTATGATTTAGAGGAGGACACACAGAGGTACAAGCTAGCGAATGCTGGTGAGACCGAGAATGGGTGATTAACCAGGATATTTAGGAAAGAAGTATGATAGAGGATAGAAGAGAGGCCTTCTGATCAGAAAGGAGAACCCAGAAACGTGGAAACAGTTAGGGAAAAGCAAATCCATATAGCACAAGCAAAATGAGAATGGAACCATATGAAATTGTCAAGATTTTATTTATTTATTTATTTACTGGCAAAACTAGTAGTTCCATGTTAATCAACCTCATATACCCAGTGAGCAAGCATGCTGTAGAGGGCCTGCATGGCAGGCACCACCTAAGCCCCAGGAGTTAGAAATGAGACCCAGTCTCCACCCTCAGGCTCCTTGTCCATGGAAAGGGGAACTTGAAAAGCCAGTGAGAGGAAGCATAGGAATTAGAACCAAAGCTTTCGGAGTCTTGTCACCCTCCTGGGTCCATCAACTGTGGCATAGCTCTTAATTATTTGGAAAATGGCTTCTGAATGTTACACTCACTGAATGGTTCTCAAATAAATACAATATTAGTAAATAGTATTTGCTATTACAGTATGGGCTCTGTGGAATGCAGACTTGTTGGTTTTGTTTTTATATCCCCTCCCCTCATACACACGCAGGAAACCAGGCCAGCAGTCATCACTCTCTAAAAGGGTTTCTGAAAAGCAGATAATGTGACTGTATGATTCTATTTAGAATAAACTGGTCTGATTTTATAGAGTCACTGCCTTACTCATCACATCTGCCTTAATCCCTTTTTCAAATAAGACTTTAAAATGCAGACTCCTGGGAAGAAAGCCGTGTCCCGTCCCCGATCTGTGGACGCGGGAGGAAGAAGCGTGTGCGCCTGGCATTGACCTCCAGATGCCACGCTCGCCGGGCCCACAGGGAAGCCACTGAGAACAGCTGTCGGTTCCAACACCAGGTTATCCAGAGAGTCCCTGAGTTTGCAGCAGCCTCCCCCAAATGAGGAGCTTCAGTGATCATTTAAGAAAACAAAACATTGTGTGACTCGTCTAGACATGACCATGGGAACCAGACCTGGAGAGACCAGTGTTCCCACCGTAAGTCAGACAGCCATTGAGCAAGAAGGGTGTTATTCCTTAGCAATATTCCAGAAGAAATTAAAAGTCACAACATTGTTTTAGGAGGGATTCCTCTCCTGGGAATTCGCAAACAGTGGGATTTCTGAGGCTGCAGGTTCCTCAGTCCATTATTATTCTTTCATTGTTGCTATGCCTGCCCTTTCCACTTGCTGTTTTCTAGTCACCTTCAAAGGTCCTGCAAGCGCAGCACAAAGACAGAGGATTCCCCAATGATTAGGTCCCCACATTCATGCATAATGGGCATTTGCTCTTCGGCATCTCCCCCCTCCCCTAACTAAGTGGACGCCCAACCAGTACTACTGCCCCTTCTCTTCACGATCGCTTTCTCTAGAGAAAAAAAGAAAACACACCTTCTCCTGAGACCTTTTCAACTTTGCCCTCTTCTAGCTCAGGGCTGCATAACTGCCACGCCCGCCGGCCCAGGGTCTTGCCTGACTCCTGCGTAGGTCTCATTTCTCTCTTCCCCAGTCTCCCGTGATGTCTAACATCCCTGCAGCCAACATCAGCCACCTCCCCGGGCTCTTGCGCGTCAGGGCTGTGTGCTCCTTATTTCCTGCCCCCT